AGTGGAGTCAACAATGGAAAAATATACATCCTCTCTTTTCAGCTGAGGCAATGCGCGAGACAAGGACAGAAGCATTAAAGCGTCGCTATTCTCCCATTTTTTTCATACATGCACGTCCAGGAAGAGATAAAAAACAGCCAGAAGCCTTTCAAACGATTCCACTGTAAGTCAGAGCAAGCGCAGTTGCCGGCTTAGGGGAAACCTAGGGTCATTACTGCCACGCTATGGAAGAGCGCCATTTATGAGTCCTCAGACGGTTTCAAATTTCCCTCGATAAAATATGAATTTGTAGGGAGATTTCAGAACATTTTTCTTCCAATTTTTTGGAAGATTTGGGCCGTCCATAAGTTACGTAGCCGATTTTTTTCAATTTTTCCCGAAATTAAATTTTGACAATTTTCCAAGAAAATTCGTGCCTTTTTAAAGGGAGTTTGGCCATGGGCGGATTTACCTACTTGCCGCCCATGGGCCGCCTGTATTTTGCCGCCCTCTTCTCATCCTTTTTTAAACATCAATAAAAACCATCAAGTGAACGTGCCGGAGGGAGAAGGGTACATAAGACGCGTTCATTCGTGTTGGACACATTTTTCGCGTAAGACCTGTCAACACTACTAGCAAAAGTTCACGGAACTTCGCGCGAAAGTTCAGTTCCGTAAACCTATCTCTGTGGGGACAAGGCCTTTCATTTGTAAGAAATGACCTAAAAATGTGCGAAAGAACAAACATAGATGTGGTTTAATTATTTTAACTTCCGCCGCCGCGCCGCGTTGACCACACTGTGTTTGGCCTTTGGCGCAATGCGTGAAGTATTCATGCAGTCTCGTAGGCGCTAATATGTGTCACATGCCGACCGCCGCGTCGAGGGCTTCTGCTTCTCCTTTTCATCTCAAGTCCTCGTCATCATTTCTCTTTACGCCGCGCCGCTCCAGGCCACATTACGTGTTTTGTTTCTCTCTTAACTCAACTAATTAAAAGTGCGCAGTCTTTTGTATCACCGAAATACGACAAAATTAGAAATTAATGAACGCTCAGGGAATGAGAGATTTTGTCACCTTTTCTTGCTTGTAATTTTTTTCTGAATCCGATATATTTGTACCTGCATTTAAAAAAATTGCAAAATTCGCAGCCCCCTAAATTTGCCGCCATGGGCCGCGGCCCATGTGGCCACCCCCTTAATCCGGCCCTGAATTTGGCAATGTCTGGAGGCTCATACGCCGATCTTCGTTAGCATGAAAGTAAGCCCCTGCAGAGATGGCAGGACGGGGCAAGAGTATTGGGACGTGTTTGTCTGGACGAACTGTCAATCTTGAACTGTACGGAGGTGACGAAAGATCATTAGTGCGCATCCGACAGTTCTTTGTTTACACATCCAAACAGGCTCTCTTATTTTGCAGACTTATGAACTGTTGGTGGTTATGGGTTATGGGCTTTTTGCCGCGTTCAGGTTGGGCACCGTATGATCATTCGAATGCTGCCAAATCCTTCATGATGAAAAACGAATTTTCAGGGAGACTATTGAATGTTTTTCTTCAAATTTTATGGAAAATTTATTCACAGTGGGGTCTGAAGTATTGTATCTGAAAAATTGAAGAGAAAAGATTTACAATTTTCCTCAAAAATAAAGGTTTCTTAGGAAAATTTTGGCAACATTCGAATGTTTTCCAGCGCGACATAGTTGCACTAGTTGCACATAGACGAGCATAATAAGCTTGGCTGTTTGCTGAATAACGAGAATCCTCACACATCAGTTTGTTTGGGCGATTGCGAGAGTGAAACGGACATACTTAAGCCGTACACTTGGAATATTTTTCGTTGACTGTAATAAAATTAAAAACGACTTCATTGCTAGATTTTCGCTTGCAGAGCTTGGTTTAAAGTTTTATTTATAAACATTAAATAAAAGTCACTAAAACAGGGAAAGAAACTCACTGAGGAAGCTCTGCCTGAGGTATGATTAGTGCTGAAGTGTAATAAAAATCGTGTTCAACTTGGGGATCAACTATTGTAGTTTTGTGTGCCTAAGCTTGAATGAAAAATCCTTGGTTCGTTAAACTCCCTCAGCCACGAAGATAGAAAATCAAGATACAATTATTTCAACTTCTCTGTTGGTCAAATTGCATAAGTTACGAGATGAAGGATCAAACAATTTTGCCATTGTAGTCTCGCCTCTGCCAGTTTCAAGTTTATACCCTTTTGATTAATCTCGTATGAAAAATTAGGAGAAAAAAAGAGGAATTGAAAGGACGGAAGTGTAAGTAAGGTGAAGAGTAGGAAGAGAGAAAGACGGATGACTAGGAGAATTAGAATGTTCAGGACACACGTGAGAAGTAAATGCCATCATAATCAACATAACCCGCTTATATTGACAAAGTTATAGAAAAGGGGCCAGTTGATTAACAACAAGACATTAAAGGCAAAAAAAAAAAAGGTTTTTCCTGATGATTGATCCGGGTGTAAACATTTTCTTGTGCGCGTTTTGACAAGACCTTTACTTACTGATCCGTTCTTCTACCTTTCCCTTTCAACGGTATCCTTAATTTATTAATACATTTTAAAAGCTCCGGCAAAGCATTGGACTTTCATCTACAAGCGAAAAAAAGGCAAGAGGCTGAGAGTAGTAAGGCTGCCTTGAATAGTTACTACACCGATTGTAAGTTGGTTACGGCGCCGTGATACAACTATTCGTGTTTCAAGGATGTGCGTGTTGCATGTTCAAAATTGAAGGCATTTTCGCTTTTCTCACCATTTGAGAATCAGAAATGAATGGGTGTTAGTTCAGCATCCAAGTAAGAGAGTGCCTTGATAAAAAATGCTGCTCTCTGATTGATCAACGAATTTCAATCTTTCATGGACTTCCTGATTTCCAACTTTTGAAATAATTTCAATACAAGATTTGATGGATACATTATCGTCAAGAATATCCTTTTTCAGATAGTTTCCTTCATTTCTTCATCGATATTAAACTAATTTCGATTACTTGGTTTTGTTTAAGTACTACTATAGATACTGGGTTTGTGAAAGAAAAAAAAAAAAACTCGTTAATTTTTGTTAAAAACTCCTAGAGAAAATTGAAAAAAATGAATTGTAAAAACCTGATTCACATAACCAGAAAATATGTAGAGATTACTGAATTAGTTCTCACTTTGATACTTTACAGTCTGGTTAAAAATCTCGAGATATATTTGTCAGAAATCGATTAGTGGAGGACATTCGTCGGTGAACGTATGGATTGCAGCTAAAATTAATGATCCGCCAGTTGACGCAATTTTCAGAATTTTGCCGATGGTGCATTGCATGCATGTAGCAAACATGTGGCTACAAATAGAGTTCCGGAGCACAAATGCAAAGAAGCATCTCAGAATATCGTCACCTTCCGGCAAAAGTATTACAAGCGCCATTTTTACCGAAATTGAGTTATGAATAGTTTCGAAATTACGAGATGCATTTACATACGAAAATGATATTTTTTTTTAGACAAAAATGTAGAAATATGAATAAAAATCGATCGAAGTTGATGTACTTTCGTATCACAAGCGCCATTGGGGAGATGAGTATCACAAGCGCCGTTTAGGAGATACTTAAGCATCACAAGCACCAAGTTTGGAAACCGCTCACTTTCATGATTGTTTGCAATTTTTGTAACAGCAACCCTCCGAATGACTTAAGTAAAGCTAAATTATTTTCGTACGTAAATGCATCCTGTAATTTCGAACATTATATTTGTTTTTCGAATAAAAGTAAATCAATATGAAAAATACTCCGTTGAAGTTGATGAACTTTTGTATCACAAGCACCAAGCTGGGTAATCGCTAATCTTTGGGATTAATTTGAAATTCCAGTGTCAATTACGCTTGGAATGACCCGGAGCAATTCGTCACTTTACGAGTGTCCGGCCGGAGTAGGTATCACAAGCGCTATTTGTATTGAAATTGAGTTATAGATGGTTTTGAATCAATGAGATGCATTTAGATACGAAAATAATAATTATTTTCGGATTAAAAATGGATAACTACGTAGAAAACTCTACTAAATTCGATGAGCGCCCGCATCACAAGCGCCTTGGTTTCTCAAAATACATCAAGTACGCGGTATCACAAACGCCAATTTTCAAAGAAAAAATGTTTTTCAATAAAAATTTTATTAAAATTCAAGGCAGAAAGTTATGCTGGGTTCATATTCCAAGTTTTAAGCCAAAACTCCGTCGGAGACAGTCGCAAATCGGTTTTACTTGTCTCCTAAAGAGTTGGCAAAGTAGCGCTTGTGATACTTTGGCTGGAAAGTGACGATATCTTGTCTTTCTGACGAGGCATAAAAAGCTACGATTTCACAGATTCTAATTCTTCTCCATATAAAGTTTTCATGTAGAATGTGCGTATGAAAATTACGAAGTTTTAATATTTTATCCTTACGATTTGCATCAGTTCCTCCACTTCATGACAGCGGGAGCTTATTAGAAAATTAGCATTGGAAAGCGATGGGTATCTGAATTCAAAACTAATTTTTCAAGCCAAAAACTTGAGAGCAAGAAAATTCTGAGACGCTGTGGGGAGCGCAGTTACTGCTACCTACGGCTAAGGTTACTTAAAGTGACCGTATCGTCCGAAACGCTCAGTTCCGCAAGATTCTACTCCATAAATCATGAGGAGGTAGTGCGATGTCCCTCTCACTGCAAAAAGGTGAGGAGATGACAACATGCATCTCAGCCTCAGCTCATTACCAAAACTGAACAAATAATGCTTAGGAATTCAAGGTGTAACCTCATTCCTAGATTGCTAAGACAAGAGGAACGCAGCAATTTGACGAGAGTGAACTAGATAGAGCACTATATTTAAACCAAAATACTCGGCAATCAAAAAGAAGATAGAGCTGCGTCGGCATCTTGATCGAAACGGCATTCAAGAGCAAACTCAGGATTCTGATTCAAATCCATATCAATGGCTGTCTTGAAGAGCCACAAGAGAGAGATAATCAAACAAAACAAATGATAAAATTGAACTCACTTGGACGGTACTGAAAACTCCTGTTATTGAAATGAGTATCCCACTTAACAGTAAGCACTTCACGCGAAATAACATGGTTTGATAATAAGATTAAACATAAAAACAAACAAAAAAACTAAACGTCTAATCAACAACCACGCACGATCCGCGGAGAGCCATGAAAAACTGCCCTCTAGACACTCAATACTCACACTTCTACGCGGGGATGGGAGCGTTGAGTATTCGTTCGGAGAATCGGAGTCAGCGCACAAGATCCGCTGACGTCACGAACACCTGCCTTCTAGGTTAGTGTATAGGTTCTGGTATCTTCATTTTTTGAAGGCGTTTTGAGTCTTAATCGAAAGCAGCTCATGCTCAACAACAACACACTCTGCCAAGCCTAAGTAATTTTTCACTATTAAATTTTTTTCCAAAATCATTAAGGGGATTTTTTTAGGCAAAAGAAAATAACACCATATTTTAATGGCTAACTCATTTCAAAAAACTGAAGTGCATTGAGGCGCAATCTTGGTTTTCAGACCTGTAAATTAAGTTTACGCTGAATTAGTAAGTTTCACGATGCAATTGATCTACGTATTTCCTTCATGAGATGACAAATCTTCTGCCTCATTTAGTCATTTGGAAAGTTGGACCGCTTTATTTGATGGGAAATAACTGCAGATCCCTTAGCTTTGTCTAAAAAAAATAATTTTCAAACTCATCAGCATGAGCTAAATTATTATGGGATGAAACTTGACTTTATTTTCCTTAGACGGTAATGATTAAAGGGAATTTAATTTGAGAGAATTAAGTGCTGCTATTCTTTAAAGTTAAAAAAAAATTAATTGATTCAGCTCGAAAGGAAATAATGAAGCATTTAATAAAAGAGAGCATCAATTTATTCAGTTCTGGTAAGGGATTTTGAAATCCTAACTACAAAATAGGAGAGGAGGTTCATGTTCTAAATACTTACTTTGTTTTATCAAGGCAAACATTTCGTTGAATATCTTCGAAAAGTCATAGCTTATAAAATTTACTGCCGGAACAATATTTTACATTATATGTACCATTGCCTTCAAGTTTGTTCACAAAGACCTGTGTTGATGGTGAATCAGACTTGGCAACCACGAATTTCGTTTGCGGTATTTTAAAATCTTCGCTTTCATTTTATTTTTTTAAAGGTGAACGGATTCACTTATTTCTTCAATTATTTTAAAGAATTTCCTTCAAACAGTGAAAAAAAATCACAGAAGTTTTTGGAAGTGACATTGAGTGATTTTTCATTTGGAAAATAAAGTATGATAGGAAGTCTACAACATCACAAACCGAGATCCCTGGTTTGGAAGTTTCAACATTGATGTGTATTGTGGTTTGGTATGGTATCAAATCGTTATTACCAGAAAGATAGACCCATGTGCTACCGATTCATCTTGGAAACCCAGCTTCAACCTCCTACAACGTTGCTTTAGTGTCCTGAGTATTCTGGCACTCACCACTAGGACCTGCGGCCGGATTATCGAAACTATATCGGCCCGACTTGACAAGACATAGCCCTATCTTAACCATGCAATATATCGCTATTTGATGTCTTATCGGGCTGGTTTAAACTTTCAATAATCAGCCCGCTAGTTGCCTTAAAGGGTCGGTAAGGCATCGAATTGATTAATATCTTTAAGAATGTCCATCAAAGTCCTTGAAAAATTTACATATCGATAACTTAATTCTGACAATGAAAAAAAAATAAGTTCATTCTAATTTTTCTGTGGTATGCGTAAAATTAGTGAATTACTTTGCAAAGGCTGAATTTAAAGTGCTACCACAAAATTCGACAGTTTTTTATCCGTAACCAATTTTAATGCATTTATGCCATGCTGAAGCACAAGTTCGAACAGCCTTCTCTAACGTAAAATACTGCTTTGTTACTGGCATGGGAGCTCTGACTGATGAAAAAATTTTGAAAAAAACAATAGGCTCACATAATATGAAAATTTGTTGAGGAAAAAACAATAATGCATTTGCTTCTTTGGTATGCCTGAGCATACTTGTATATTTCTCTTTTTTTACAAAAAGTATATTACAAAAGATGTACAGAAGGATGACGAGTATTAAAAAATAAATAAATGACGGGCAAAGGATAGAAAAATGGAAACTTATTGAATTGAAAAAAAAAAAATAAATAAAAAAATGAATTAAGAAAAAATGAAAAGAGATAAGAAAAGGGATTGAAAATTCAGAAAAATTTGATCCACACTAACTTAAAACAAGGTAACAAGTGCATGTCAAGGAGAGATACATACTCGAACTGATTAAAATGTACAATCTTTTTTAATTAAAATTACTATGATGATGTAAATTTTAAACCTTCTGAACAAAATTTCATTCAGGATGCGTATTATGAATGTGTCTAAATTCGACAATCGATTAAAGAAAATTCACCTTTCTGTTGAAAAACTACTTTGGTTGAGAAACAACTTAAGTTAAATTATGAAACTTATGAACATTTGGAGCTAGAAATCAAAAATAGAAAATATAGAAAAAACACAAAACATGTATCAAACAAATATTTGTATTGATTTCACTGATATTTACAAATGCCTAAGTTTACTTAAAACTTATGGATTCATGAGGCAAAAAAATCAAGTCTAACTACCTGAGTACTTTTTCTAACTTACGAAATGGACGCTTTTTTCCAGAAGACAGACGTAGGAAAATATAATGGTCTGTTGAAATGTATAATTGATTGATTGATTGATAAAAAATCTTTGGAAAGTGCACGATTCTTCAGCCTGATCTAAATTTTTTAAATGAATCGAATTTTGAATAATCACTACTCAATTTCACGATTGAGAGGAGGCAGGAATTAAGCTAAAATTAAGAAATATTTCACCTCCTTTAGAGTTGACTTAATTGAAATACTAACAGAGAGCCTTCTCATAAACTTTCATGCAGAATCCTTAAATTTTCATATCCTTTCACATTTGTAAATGAGCGAAGCTTGCGAGAAAATACATTGATGAACAGAGCAAGGTACACAGCAAATGAGAAAACAAAATGATAAAAGATAACACAATAAGTTAATAACAATAAATGAATTTTAGACCATCAATATTTCACTGATGAAGATTCGCATCAACGTGAAGTAAGTCACAAATTGACAAAAATAATGAAAGATGGAAGTAAGGTAAGAGTTGGGATTTAAAGCTCCAGACATTGTATTGTGGCGAAGATTATGATTGAGACAAGGTGAAATCGCTCCATCATGAAAAATTCTAAGTGAAAAATAGACAAGGTTTTGATGTGCAGATTTTTTGACGTTGAGAGAGAAATTGGGAGACAAGAACATATATTCGACGAGAATATTCTATTCTCTCATTTTGAAAGATAGTGTGAGGTTTACGGATGAGAATAAGGGATTCTTTTAATATGGAAATGTTCTATGCTTTTACACATTTATCAAAACTTCAATTTGAAGTTTTGAATATGTAATTGAAAGGAAAAGATCTTAATGAATCAAAAAAAGATTCAATGCGTCTACCTCATGATCCAACAGATAAAGATAAAAAATAATAAAGAAAAGACAAATGCAATTGAAAATAAAAAATCCTAGAAACAGAAATCTTCTCACAGAGAAATATTTCTTGACCCACCTGGTCCACGCTTACGACAACGACAAGGGGTAAATGAGGTCATGTTAAAGAAAAGAAAAACAGAAGATTCTTAGTGGGAGCGTAAGAATCAACTGCGCCCCTGCAAAATTAAGTATTATTCGTTGGAGATTGAGCGAGGCTTCCAATTTTACTTCTCAAAAATTAACAAATTCACATTTAAAACAAGTTCAAAAATAACTGGATGTCATCTAAAAACAAGAAAATTCAATTGGCTATTTAACCTAAAACAGGAGCGTGCTCATACCTCCCATCTCACTCTGTTCTTTGACGAAGATTTCAAAGTACTGGTAAATAATCGTGACAGCTAGGAGGATACCAGTTCCGGAACCAATGGCTCCCATAAAATCAGCCAAAACGGACAGCGCTCCGATACACAGCCCACCGAATGCGGCAGCAGTGGGGATGTACCGGTTGAGCTCGTGGATCATTGAGTTTTCTCGATGACCTCTCATCACCATCTGCTGGTCTTTCAGGTGCTTGGCGACATCTTTAGCAGAAGAGCCAGACACTTCGATCCATGTTTTGGAGAAGAACGCGCAAGAACCCAACATGAAGACGATGTACAATACAGCGTGAATTGGATCTTCGATTATGTGGCCAAGGTTCTCTGGTGGTGAAAGATAGTAACAGAGCCCACCGACTGGGTAGGCACGAGCGGGGCCACCACCACCAACATCAGCCCAAACTCCGAGAAGATTTACAAACATGTTGCCATGGAACTTGACTGCTAACATCTGTTAAAACGAAAAGGACCAATGAAGAGGTGATCTCATGAGCAAACTTGGAACATTTTGGATTTATATTCAACAGGACTTAAGTCTTAAATTCTTTCCATTGAAGCAAACAGGGTTGCAGCTCATTAAGCTTTTTTATACATAGCATATAACTATTCCCCATATTTTCTATTGGTAGACTTTTTTAATGGACCATTCAACAGGGTGCACTGTGCAGATTAGCACCACAAGACGTAATTCCTCATCAAAATTTCATTCAAACAGTGCGCTTCCAACACATAGAAAATTTCTAAAGTCAATTCAGAGGTGAGGGATGTGCATTTTTACTTACATTCGAATCATTAAAATTAATCTTGCCGCTCACCAAAAATGGCAACAGTAACATAGGTCGAATCAAGAATCAAAAATCAATTTATAATGTTGCAAAAAACTGGAAATAGGTTTTGCAGACATAATTCAGCCTTCCTATGAAGAAAAACTTTCTTCTCCAAAATTTCTGAACGATCCTTTTTCAAAGTTTTTTCTTCTTATTCTCTTGTTTTTTCGGGTCTCCTCTCAAAAAATACCGCAATTTGTACACTCACACGAACCAGTCCATTAGGATAAATCAAATCAGAGAACATTCACTGGTACGGGTTGAAGTAGGAAAAGCTCACCTGAGATATAACGTAGAGATTCGATACTAAGGCAGACTGCAAAATAATGGGAATGTTGGAAGTGTAGAATAATTTGATAGGATAACTGCTGTGCTGACCTCTGTTGCGAGCTGACTTGATCGGTAGATCTACTCTGAAGCCCTGAAAGCACAAAAAAGGCATAGGTGATAAATGGATTTTAAATCCAGATCGTAGGCATGACTTAATTTTTTCATGGGTGCAGCAAGTTTTTCAGGACAAAAATCGGGCGTGATCTGGATCTTATTATTTCCTCATTCTTGGAAAAATTCCTCATTCAAAAAGAAAATGAAGAGTATACTTGGAGCCTGTTAAAAAATCAGAGCATTTGTCTGTTTTTTTATTTTTATTTTTGGCAAAGGAAAACAGTTTTTATCAAAAAATTTCTTAACAAACTTACAGATTTCCTCTTGTCATATGCAAGCAGGGATTTACACGCTTCAGCATTTTCTGCACACTTCCATTTCTTTTCATTAATTCTTTACGTTTAAAAAAGAAAAAGAAGTAACTATACGAAAGTCTCGGTAAATGATGGCTTAGATCCATAGTTGTCCAGGAAGCTCGTTCTAGACTTTAAACCCAATTCTTTAAGTTTAAAGGAGATAGAATAGATTCAGCAAATTCTACATGCATATAAACACTTCAGCCTCTAGAAATTAGACAACTGTGATAACAGTTTGTACCAAAATTAGTAATTGTGATGTAGTCAGGGATAAACTTCACAATGTTGAAAACAGAGATATATCGTTCCACACTTTTGCCATCGATATCGTACACGTCAATCTTGAGTTTTGTTCCTTTAAGCTTGCACAATACATGCGAAGGCAGCAGAGTTATAAAACTTAGAGACATCAAAATTTTAAAATTCAATGAAAAGATCAAAATGTTTACCTGGAAGTATATGACGATAGCAAAAACTAACACAGTTGCTAATAGATTCATTAAATTAGGGAGATTTTGTCTGTAGAAAGCCTCACGTAGAGCACGGACTTTGTCTTGTCTGGTTGCCAAAAGATGGAACAATGCAATGACTGCACCTTCAAATTCTGTTCCTCTTCCTGAAGAAAAAAAAAAAAATAGCAGAGGGAGATTAGCAACAAAAAAGGTCAAAATCATGAATTGCAGTATTAAGGCAGACACTATCACCCTTCTGCCACAACCGGTGTTGCACATTTTCTAATTCATTAAGAAGGCAGCTGATGCCTGAGGTCTGAGCAATAATTTTAAAGTCTGATTTATTTCTTTCTGTTTTCTACTTTAAAAGGCTCGTGGGGGCTAATCTAGAGCTAACTGTTCCTTGTAAAAACCAGCCTCAGCAAAATCATACAGGAGGCCATCATACCTACTAGAGTTACCAGGCCGACAATTGAACCCAGGACCTCCTGATCAAAGAGCTCTTGCTATATCCACCAGAGCATAGAAGGCTGAAAATGTGGGGAGCTAAAATTGACAGAGACTTCCCTGGTCTATTTTTTTCATCCTCAGTTCCCTCAGTTACTTTACTGAGTGGGAAGACTGAGCAAATCAGGCGATTGGCAAACTGCCTATCATCGTCATTCCTGCATAAAGACCTAAATTTGAAATAGTTTGTGGTTCGAAATTTTCTCTTTTTTTAAAACTTCGAGGATAATGATTCATTCCGGCTTCTCAGATTGTTTCCAGCGCAATTTCTTTGATACAGAGGAATTTCCAAAAATAATTCTCTGATACCAGTTGTGTTGGTTTGTATATACTGCAAGCAAATAATCAAATAAGGGATTTTGTCAAATGTCTACGCTAAGTGTCAAACGTGTTAACGCAGCTTGAAACTCTGACTCTTCTGCTAATTTGGGACAAAATAATCATTTGTCTACACACATAGGAATTATCTTTGAAAATTTACAACATTGTACAGTTACTGCAATGATTTTAAGCCCAGACATGAACATTCATTCCAAAAGAAACAGTATTTTTTAAAATACAGTTGTTACAATGTTGATGATTAAAAAAATAAGAGGAGAGGTTTGAACAGGAAAATACAATGACATACTGTAGTTTGATGAATTCTGACTTTCAATATATTGAAAATTCAAGAACTCTGTGTAAACAAATATGAACATTTGTAAACTTTGATAACTCTGCATGATGATACTGATCTGTAAACTCTGATTGGGAATTAGATAAAATGTCTGATTTGACTATTTGCCTGCGATAAGTTGATTTTGCTTTTTTCTTTAATGGTTTGAAAAAATTTCAAAGAAGAAAGGTTGTTATACGTCTAGGACTACAAACCTGTGTTAACAGTGGCAGGGCTGAATGCTTTCCAGACAATGGTTTCACAGATATTTGTAGCTATGAAAAGTGAAATTCCTGAGCCGAGACCATATCCTTTCTGAAGCAATTCATCAAGAAGCAGCACAATGAGACCAGCAACGAACAGCTGAATAATGATCAGCAGACAGACGCCAGCTCCGATTTCACTCGGATCTCCGTACATTCCAGTCATGACGTAGACAATGGCTTGACCCACCGTAATCACCATTCCAAATACTAAAATTTCCAGAAGACACACAATTTGATTGATATTCTGATCACCAACAATTTACCTGATAGCAGCTTTGAATTTTTACCTTACAGAACAATTCTCAGATAAGACTAAGCCAGTGTATTGGTCATCATGCTATCAGGAAGCAAAATCATCATGGAAAAGTTCATGAGAAAATTTAACTGTGTTTAAGTTTATTTATTCCATTCGGTGAGTAAATAAATTCTTGGTTATCAATATTACGTAGTATAACAGAAAATTTTTTTGTATACAAATGTGCCTTTATAACTTAGCTTCATACATCTCAATCTTATGGTTCTCTAGGATGAAGAAAAACTGGATTGCAGGAATATGATCCTGAGATCTATTATGAAAGCAGTTGAGGTACATTTTTGGGTTGGTAAGTAAGAGTAAAATTGTAACTTCATGATTGGTTTTTCCTTTTCTTTCTTAAAAAGATGTGTTGAACAGTCTACTACACAAGATTAGACTCTGCGGAAAGATTTCATGGAAAAGAAAACTTTCATACTGTTTTTTATCAAGGACTTTGTCAACCACATTGAGTTTCAGTGAAGAACATTGAAAAGTTTCAAGTTCGAGAATTTAATTGTGTGAGAAAAAAGATAGAAGACCTTCAAAAAGTAAAACATTCTTAACACAGTAAATGATGATGACACATCAGGACTTATGTGCAAAATGATACACTTTCAAAAAGGACTAGATTTTTCAGTTCCAGCCTCATAAATGGTTCTTTTTGAAAATGAGCGAGGAAAAATTTAATTATACTTACATTTTTGAGCACCGTTGAACAAAGCTCTGTCTTTTGCTGTGTCACCTACTTCAATAATCTTTGCGCCAGCCAGTAGCTGCATAATTAAGCCGGAAGTGACAATTGGCGATATACCCAACTCCATCAATGTTCCTCTATTTGAGGCCAGAATAACACGAATCCAGTAAAATGGATCCGCAGAGTCTGAACTCATAATTCCGAACAGAGGAATCTGAAAATGAGAGAGGAAAAGTGTTGTATTATTATAAAAATATAGTACAAAATTTAAGTACATCAGATGATACTCACATTACTTGGAACACATAATTCTTAAATACATCCCAGTGCTGGAAATATGGGCAATTTTTGGTACTTTAAAAAAGAACAGAAATAGGATAAATCATTAAAAAGAACTTTAATCTTATTGAATAACAGAGGACTAGCATGACGTACTTAAAATTGTTTAACATTCTATTAATGAAATTCTCACTTGCTTTTTGACCTTTTGTCTGTTTAATTCTTTTCTTTTCTTTTAATCACTTTTTTTCTTCCTTGTTCCAACTCGAAATGTAAAAGGCCAATATTCTTAACACACCTGTCTTAATAAAATTATACCACTACAAGAACTCCTTTCCCTCTTCGTATGCCTGATAAATAGAATTATTAAATGATCTCATTCCCTAAATTTAAGGAAAACTGAAATCCTTCCTTTTCCTCCTGATTTTCTTTGGAAAGACTAGATTTGATTTCTCATGCTTCTCCTGAGGTGAGTGCGTGTGAAATAACTTGAAAAATAAAATCCTCTTACAGCAGAGAACAGCGTTGCCATAGAATTTAGAAAATGAAATTCCCTGACAATTGAAGATATGCCAGATAATGAAATAGTTTTCAGGCACAATTTGTTGTTTAAAATGTCAAATCCATTCAAGAAAGGAAATTGATGTGACTTGAAAAATTTTCCCTGACATTTCCAGGTTTTTCCTGGCTTTTTAATATTCCCTTAAATTCCCGGATTTCCCTGACTGTGGCAACCCTAAAAGAGAGGGGAAATTCCTCTCTCTTCACCTGATATTTTGATTTTCCCTGACAAGTAAAGGCATTTTCAGCAATCTGGAAAATATGATTCTGAACTAAAAAAATGTATACAAAAAAAAAAAAAGAAAGGTATATTTTCTTGGCAGCTAATTCTGTTGTGCATCACTTCAAGGGCTCACAGAGTTGCGATTGATTGGCTTTGATGAAGAAACTAATGATGACCAAAAATGAGACTGGTAGAACAAAACTTGACAAAATATACTCACTTGACAACAAACTAAAAAGATAAATAGTGTGATAGCCGTCCATAGTACTTTTTCCCTGAATTGGATCTGAAAAAAGAGGAGTGACCAATTAATGCCAGTGAAGAAATCATAGAATAAGTAAGTGCAAAGGGCCTGCGAACAATCTATTTTGAGAGAATGCATTTCAGGGAATTCACTACTTGGAGTAAATTTTACGCAACTTGCCTTTGGACAAATTTAGTAACTTGCTATTTAAGAAAAAGGCAGTGCTCCTGCACACTTAGTGTGGATACTCTGTACAATTTTTAACTACATTTTTTGAGTTTACCACAGTTTCTGAATGTGACAGAAAAGAAAACTTTTCATATCAACTACTTTACTCCTATGTCTCCGATAAACCTGATAAAAAAGTTCTGCTGCAGTTTTGGCTTCCCTAATATTTTCAAGGATTTTTTTAAGGAAGCACATTAAGAGCTAAATCGGACAATGCCTATCTCCAAGTATGATGCTGCAAAGCTCTACTCATGATTCAGTCTTTGATAAGAAATTAATGAGCCGTTTTTCTCTGAGTATTCAGTGAATTTTCTATTCTTATTTAAGAATCATCACAAAAATTTCAAAAAAATATTTCCGTTCCATTTTGGATTAAAAAAAAATCAAGAATCTTTTTTTTTCAAGAATCTCCTTTTATAAAAAATGTGATTATTTCTAACATATCAGGTAATCAAATGAATACATATTTCTCTCACCGTTATTAATAGGCCTTATAAAGGTTCTACCTACATAATTTAAAACTAACATCTTCAATGAATAAGAACCTTTCCCTGGCTCTATACTTACTTTTCTTTCAGGTTTGACTATTTCTGGTAGGATACTACAGAAGGGTTTTATTACTTCAAGGAACTTGACTGAAACAGAGAAGGAGACATGGATTAGTACTGGAACCAGCAGCATTGGGGCTGTAATGCTGGAGAGAATATTCTTGATTTTTCACTGCGGGATCTCATGATCTTAAAAAGCTGTAATATCCAGATGGGAACTTAGGTTACAGGTTTCAAAGTCAATGAGTCTCCCTGCTGTTCGATAGCGAGCAAATCAGAACTCTGAGTATCATTTGAGGAGAGCAGATCAAAGAATTCCAGCTATATTCCCAAAAAGTCGTTCATTTCCGGTCATTGGTGACAGGTTTTTTTTTTTTTTTTTTATTCTTTTTCAAAATAATGCCCCAGAAACTGACCAACTAGTGCAAGATTGGTCAGATACATTTCAGCAATACTTTCTCCATGTTCCAATGAGCCTCAGTATGTCTTTCCAAGAAACCATGGTCGTAGAACCTACCAACTCATCAACACCAGACCAGCGTCAAAAAATAATCACCCACAGGCTATCCTAGGAGCAGATTTTTAAGGGAAACGATCCGGATCTCTGTTACTACTTTCTACTAACTTCATCTGGATTATGGTGAACTTTTACCACAGTACCAGCGGTCAAGTTAATTGCTCTACTTAGCGAACAGATGGGCACCTTACCCTCAAAGAATACCTCGTCGCGTGCTATTTCCGATAACCCAATTACATTGACTTACTTTACTCTGACCCTGAGGCTTGAACGAAATATAAAGTAGGTATTTAACTGGGGATTGAGACACAGAGATGGGAAAAACCTGTCCAGTCACTAGGATGATATGTAATCAGTCGCAAGAGAAAGTCAATTTTGAGACGGGGTAATGTTAGAATTTAGTGATGGGATGTCAACTTTTCAACTATTTAGTTGGGTGATGGTCTGCATGATGGTAAAATTACAACCACTTGAGTTGAAGATATAGTAATAAAACATTGAAATCCTGTGGTAGGTTGAGATGAGAAAGTAAACTGTGGACCGATCCAGGATTTTGAGTTTACCCTTAAAATTTGCAAGAAATAAATGAAAAATTTGGATTACTTACTACCCATGATGATCGTCTATCGCACTGTATCACCTCGGGAAACGCACTAACTGATAATAAACCATATATAAGGGAATAAAATGTAATGACGGGGCTCGAGTGCTTCCAACGCAAGCAGAGAAATGCCGACAAATCGACAATAACGGTTTAGAAGAGTGAACACGTAGGTCCACGCAGCGACGTTATCATCATAGAGAAAGTTGAATTCGGACTTCGGAGAATCGCCATTTTTGTTCCACGTCGATACCGTCACAAGATTTTAGAATCAACTGGGAACGTATGCAATTTGTCATACAAAAAAAGCAGGCTCCGCGGCGAGTTGGCCCCTCTAACTCGGTACCTACATGTTATCCCGCGAAATTTGAAAATGCGGACTTTACAGAATGTCCTCGATGCTTCTGAAGTTCTGTAATGCCATTTAGAGGAAGGTTTAATTTGTCTAATCGTAATGTTGGCCCTTTAAACTCCAGCTCACTTAATCCTGGTTGCTCCATGCATCTTTCGCACTCGAAGCCCTCATGCAAATGCCATTGGATAGAGGATAATTATTTGTTACAATCTAATTTTTTCTCCGCTTCAACAACTTAATTCTTCCTAATAAAAGTTTAAAAAATAAAGTTGTATTATTTTTTCAAATTAACTTCCCTTTGAGTTTTTGAAAGATTCAAGTATTTCGTGATGAATAATAAGATGATTTATCAAAAAAATTTAATCTCTCCTCATGATCATGCCACTTCGTTCATGCATCCACAACGCCAGAATAACTATCGCTATTTTTGAGATATTTTCCATGAGATACAACTCTTATTCTTACTTCAGCAAAAGTTTGCGACATGCCTATTGCTACAAGAATAACGGTAAAGTTGGTCATACGCATTGCGTGAATTCACATTCCACATTCCATATCAAAATTTCACGTAGAGTACAATGAGTAAATTGAATTTTTTTATATGTATTTAACTCATCGGTAAGAGAATAGCGTTTTTCGATTATACAAATTTAAACTTTCCGCTCACATAAACGCTCAAGTCAAGACGCTTGAGTCAAATCGAACACTGAACTAATTTCAGTATGCTTTCCGATGGAAGAATATTTTCTGTGTACAAAACATGTTACTTAGAAACTTCTAGTGCCACAGATTGAGAGGAAAAATATATTTTATTAGATTATTTTATTAGGATTCAGGACCAAACACTGAGTTTATTTCAGTATATTTGTAAGGGAGAGGTTTGAGTTGATTGACTCAATTGTAAACTACGGGCTCATTATTCATAGATGACCTATTTTTTAAACTTATACTTAATTATGTTTTGAGTAAACTCATGATGAAAAAGTATCTTTGAGGAGTTGATTTCTTGTATTGTCTAGTTGCTCCAGGCACTCCATACTAAGTGTACGTAATTAAAAAATGAATAAATGCAAGAAATAATGGGTAAATAAACGGTCAACATTAATAGAGGGCTGTTATGAGAATACACCGTAATATGGATTCTCATCACTATTGGAACTTAAGAATTTCTTCCAGCTAATAAATGATAAACTTAAGTGTTGGACGTTTTTATTGACTTTTCTTATAGTTAAATTTATGAGGAACGAGGACTGGTGAAGCTCTAGGTGGATGTCAGGCTACACATGACTCAGGATATCATTGAATTTTTCGCGCTTTTGGACCCAACTCAACACTGGAGTGCAAATGGTTAAGTGCAATGTGAACTTCATGAAAGCTGTTCTGCCAGTAATATTTATTGGAATGCTTGGCACTGTTGAAGTGAGAGGATCTCGCACCTAGCTTCTTGGTGATAAAATTTGATAATACTCAATCATCATTTAAAATGCAAGATATTGTAAAGTTCCAAAACTCTAGAGTAGGTACCTGATCAAGTCTTAGTCAAAGAAAAACATTAACTTTTATTGTTCTGTTTGAAATTTTCTTCAGAGTCTACAAAATATGAGAAGAGCACTTTCATAAAGCATGTGCTAAGAATAAAAAATTGCCTGCGTGGCGAAAAATTATTTTCTACATCAATATAAGGCATTAATTTGCTATTCCAGTGCAAAATTTGTTGACACTATCTTTCTCTAACCAAAATTAAAATCACTGAAAGTTTTTCTGATTTTTTTTTTCTCCCACAAAAAAAAAAAGATGGGAGGAAAGATGTGATTAATTACAAATATTTAAGACAAAATAAATTTATTGAAGTGATTCAATAACAATCAACAAAACAAAAAAAAAATCATTCCAAAATACAATACATTGACGTACATGATGCGAATGTAAAAACAGAGCTTTAACGTTGATGAAAATTTGACTATCCAGTGGTTTGAAACAAGTTGTTAAGATATAAATGGGGTTAAGATCTACTGCTGCTCAACAGTAAATGACTGTTTAGTTTGTGACTTTTAAAACTGAGCAGATGACCAGCGTTAATGTTGATTCTTTAAAGTATCTTTGACTGCTAAAATATGTTATTTTAAATTTTCAAGATCAAGTCGAAGACTTTTGTTAAAGAATCAATACATTATCGACAGTAAATACATTGGTAAATTACAATGAATTTTAATTAGATTTCCTCATTAAAGTTTATTGTTCTTCATAATTTCTGTGCGGCACCTCAGCTCAGTCAAATTACAACAGAACCTGATAAGAAAAATGATAAGAGCTGGAAAAGCGGTGGGAAAAGCTCTTTTTCTAATAAAAAAAAGGATGAATGAGAGACAGTGTTCTTGTGATCGTGATTAGCTGACTGAACTAGGCAGAAATTCACTTAGCATGTCGAAATTACTTGATGATAGGTATAATTTTCTCTTTCAAAACAAAACCATATTAGTAAATAATTCTTTCGGACGAACGGGAGGAATTGCAAAAAGGAATGGAAATTTATTTGCACTATAAGCAAAATCTTTTTGACATGATAATTTTGAAAAATTGACCATAAATTCTCTAAAAAAATTATGGGAATTGTAGCTTACCATTAAGAAAATGGCATCAAAAGTTAGGCCATATTAATTTTCGAGATCTACATCTGTTAAGATAAAAAATCTACTTTTAGGATTTCCAATTAGTAAATTGCAAATGTGATACATGTCTTCAAAGCAAGATATTAACTCCCAAGTTTCAGAATAATAGAAGAAGAGCTGGTAAACCATTTGAAATTATTCATACAGACGTATATGGTCTAATTAATCCAGTAGGTTATGCAGGTGAAAAATATTTTGTAATTTATAAAATGAATATATGTAGTAAAGTTGCTACGGTATCCTCCATAGGTTGGTAGCATGTAATGGCAGGGAAATATGTCTCTTCGCCAAGGTCAAGCCGTGGAGACACTCTCTGTTCTCTTCTTGAATAAACTCCCTGTGATAACGTCTTCTCTCGTTCTTTCGTTGCAGCAATTGGCGAAGAGGATTCTAAAATGTTTTCGCGTAAATAGAATTTAATGACCAATTTTTTTTTCGTTCCAGTACTTCACAAAAATGTGCTTTAATCAGGAACCGCGCTCCTGGCTCCAGCTTTCCTTTTAAGGTAGCCTCAACCTCGTACCTCGTGCCACCCAGGCGATAAGTCAATTCGCGATTCATTAATTGGTCTCCTTTCCTGCTCAATTACGGCTCCACCTTTTTAAAAATGGACAAAGAACAATTTGCAGCATTCCTGAAGGTGGTGCAAACCTCCCAGTCAAGTATTTCGATCCAGGCCCCAGCAGTTCCAAGAGCCGGTAAATCAAATGAAGGGCCTAACTCGAATGGAGCAACCTCATCCAGCAATTGGAGAATTTTGAATTTCGAACAATACGTCGGAAAGGAGAAATTCAGCCAGTACGTTGAACGCTTCGAAAATTTTGCCAGCCTTAGAGGTATTTCAACTTTAGTTGAAATTTTCTCATACGGTGTTATTTTCTTACTGTTGAATCTCATCTACATGTACAAGATCATCCTAAAACCAATCAGGTCCATGTGGAGAAAGATAAGAAAAACTGAGGAAGATACAGCTGATAAAATGGAAAAGGCAAAAGAATCACTAGATGAGTCAACACGTTCATCAGATGAGGATAACATGGAGATGAAACTATTATGAGGCAGTCGAATAGGCCCACAAGCAGAGAAAAGAGGATCATTATTCTTGGTGCCTGTATCACTGATGACCATTACAGGATCTCACTCCTTTAGTTGTGATGTGAATCATGTCATCGGTTTGATAGGTCAGAGTTGCGACACTGATTTGGTCTGTGATCCCATTTTTTGATGAGGAAAATTGACGAGGATGATAAATGAGGGGGCAATTTATCTCATCAAGAGCTTCACTCATTATTAACTCCGAATATAGCTCTCGGTAGAAATAATATAGCTTAGCCAAGAACATCTGAAGCAGCTCCAAACAGGGCTCCAACCAACAGCCACACAAATAATACTCAAACTATCATTGAAAATGATCATCATCTGAGAGAGTATTTGATTCAGATTCAAGAGGGATGATCGTCTTCTAATTGTAGCTCACAGGAATGCACTTTTTGAATCTGCTGTAGATTTTTTGAGGGAGGAGATGAACCTCAACCGACGCCTACAAATTCTATACATCGATGCCATTGGTGCCCTGGAAAATGGGCAAGATGAAGGTGGTCTCACCAGAGACTACCTTACCCAAACAGTGCAAGCAATGAAGCACTGCCCCATTTCTGCGGGGCCGGAGTATGCAAAGGACCTCATATATAGTGAATTTGCAGTTGAAAACGATCTTTACAGAGTAGCTGGAATTTTAGTGGCCATGTCACTGATCTATGGCGCAGCAGAGCCGATGTTCTTTGGAGAATTTACTGTCAATTGCCTCCTCAGCGGTGCAGATTCTGCGGAGCCGACGTTGGACCACATTTATGACATGAACGTTAGGGTGGCTCTGGAGAAACTAATTGAAGCAGAAGAAGAGGATTTGGAAAGCGTTATAACCTCTCATAATGACGTCTTTGAGAACGTAGACCTCTCCAGCATTGCCAGTGATAAAATAGAGATTTTTAAAGGTTTGTCTGCATTATTAAACTGTATTTGATCAAACTTAACCGCATTTGAATTCCGGGGCAGAAAGAAGAGGAATTCTTTCCTTATATGCTCTTCGGCCCTCAAATGATTTTTTAAATGTTGTCTTTTTTTCTGTGAGAGACTGTCAGTTTTAAAGGGAACCAGTAAAAACAAGAGATATTAGTAAAATAAGTAATATTTGTCATATCGTCTAGAAACTAATGAAGATAATTTAAAGTTCTAATCAAATTTATAATTGTAATACTTTCAGCTTCCTATAAAGCTTTAGTTTTTTATTTGGTCACTTGAGTGGCGAGTAACATCAGTTTTCCCACACCCGTCTCTCGCCACTGCAGGCGTGTAATAAGGCGAGGCTCTCTCAAACATGAAACTTTTCAATTTTGAACAAAAAATAGCATTTGAATATTAGCTGAATAAAGCCACATGCTCTCGTCTTGCAAACTCCTCAGCACGCATACATTTTTGATGTAATCCCCTTATTCTTGAACACATTTTTCATACTTGTTAAATTATCTAACTTTCACGGTGTAAAAAGAAACAGCTTAGACATTTAAAGAATATAAATTCTTTCTATTATTCCCCACTGCTCCCTAAAAATTCGCTAACAAACTTAAAATTTTAGTTATTGTACGACCTCGTTTCTGCCGGACCACGCGCAATTGCACGCTTACGGAATTTTGCCAACTTTCAGGTGTTTCTTCTTCTAAAAAGTGTCCGAAATTCATCTTTACTTACAATTTTTTGTGAATAAAGTGAAAGGCATCTTCCTCTTCATTTAAGTTTCACGAAGAACAAATTTTACTTACAGCTGTGAATGCATATTTAAAATAGGTACTAGCTCCTCACAGCGAGGCAAGGGGTCCCCCTTGTATCCCCGCCCCGGTCACCTGCCTTGCAGGCAAAGTTCAAATAACTTTTTACCTTTCGTGTAAACCCTCTGTATCTCGTTCAAAATTGGAAGGAGAAGAAGTTTGTCAATTATTTAGTCAAAATTGTGTACTGAACAATGTCCTTGATTCGTTTTTGCCAAATTTTAATATTTTCCATCCAAAAATTCTAGTGGAAAACTCAAAAACATCGAAAAAATCATTACCGTAGCCTGTAATAATCTGTAGGTCATTAATTTTATGTTAGGTTTTAAAAAGGTTCAAGCCCCCAAAAAAATAAAACCTTGGCAAATATTACAGCCAAGATGTATTTAAAAGAATATTTCTTGTTGTTTATGTCAAAGTTTAGCATAGCAATAAAATTACGCCACCCGGGAGCAATGTAACAAAATTTTCGCATCATTACCGTAGACCCTGTTGGCAGCACTTTCCCGCCGCTAGAGCGCAGTCTGTGATCACTTAAACATTCGGAGTGTTTTGTTTACCGTGTAGTGCACGATGGCTGGGTTGTCGGGATTTTAAACTTCATTAAAAGGTAATTTCTCTTGTTTTTATCTGCTGAATTAAATTTTGGCAATTTGAAATTCTCATTACCGCATACCTACTTTTTTCTGTTAAGGAATGAATGAAATATTAAAGTAGTGCATGTTTTATATTGTATACTAAGAGCTAAACTCAATTTAAAAATTACAGCAGAATCCACCAATGCAACTAGATTATACACCGACTTTCATCATGAATCATCATTACCGTAGCCATCATTACCGCAGCCATCATTACCGCAGCCTCTTTCCAAGAGGAGTGGGGTCTACGGTAATGACGCAAGTGGTCTAAGGTAATGATGAAATCAAATTTAAGAGAAAATATAACATGAAATGTTGTATAAAAGTCATAGTATTAGAGGCCTAATTTTCTGTAGCAGTTGAGCATTAATATCTCTAACACTTATTATTCTCATTTATAAATTTTATTAGGTTTTTTCCAGTTTTAGTACACATTTGATGTTTGTACTGTACTGCAGGGAGAGTGGTGTCCATGTTGTAATTTTTTTTTTTTTTTCCTTTTTTAGGTAACAATGTCGGAAGAAACTTTATACGACCTGTGGGTTCAAGATTTAAACAGAAAACTGGCAGACTTTCAAAATACGGCAAAAGATGAGAACAGAAAACCATTATCGACTAAAACTTCAGGTCCTTTGAACGTTGGGCGGTCTTCTGCTCGTCAATCTGGAAACTTGTCCGAAGGTATAAATGTTGAAAATATCAGTAATGAATCTGTTCAGACTCCTGAGTTTAGCTCTAATACAGATAAAAGTGAGAATTTAAAAGGCGAAAAAAAAAATCCAGAAAACGTCCAAAAAATGAAAAATATTTGGCAGAAAAACGTAGGAAAAAAAGGGAAAAACAACAACGTTATCAAGAAGCAGTGAAAAATGATCCTGTTCGCTATGAAGCGTCGAAACATTATGAAAGAGCTAGAAATGAAAAAAGGAAGAAGAGTGGAAAACTCAAAGCAGTAACAGATTTGAAACCCTGAGAGAAGCGAGCACAGCAAAAAAAATGGAGGGAGAATTCAAAATGCTAGCGAAAAAAGAAAGCTACCGAAACAAATTTACAGCTCATGTTGGCTGAAAACACCCCTCCGACGTCTCCAGAGGGAGATTTTTTGATGGACTTTCAACATCCTGCACCTAGGCCCTCTGAGTTTCGAAGACTCGTATACCAAACCCGTTTGATCCTGGCAAACCTCTTTTTATGCTCTTTGACCAAGTGCACTTATTTAAGAACATTAGAAATAATTGGCTGAATGCCCCAAACCAGGTTCTCAAAATTCCTGACGTCAGGCAAGTACCACTTTTTGACAAGCCCTTGCACACATCGAATCCTATCGACTTTGACAGTTCAAACTGCAATGTTGTCCGACTAGTGCCCAACGAAGTGACATTTCTTGAGGCAAAATTTGAAGACGTGAAAAATCTCTATCATGCTGAAGCAAATGCATTCTTGAAGCTTGCGCCTATGTTGACCCAAAAGGCTGTGTATCCATCCTCTGCGGAAAGACAGAATGTTTCATTGGTCAATGCTGTCTTTCAAGATTCAACAAAAGTAGCCCTTCAGACTTTGAAAAAGGACATTGTGCAGACATCAGACGACTCCATCATGTTCCTCCAAATTATTGGCAGATGGTGGAAGATTTCGAAAGTCAAAAATCCTGACAAAGGCAAGAGGCTCAATGACATGTAGTGTGAGCCGGTGATGGGGACCAAAGATCAGAAGCTGAAATTTTTGAGAGACCTCCTGCTATTCCTTGAAATTTGGGAGCTTCCCAAAAAAGACGGATAGAAGAGTGCTCCTTTTTCTGGCCAGCTATGCTACCAAGACCCTACAAAAGCTAAGGCATAAAGAGAAGGAGGTCTGTGCTGAATGCAGAGAAACACTCGTGACAAATAAACCTCTAGAGATTGAACGAGTAAAAGAGACTTATGAATATCTGAGCGGCTTGGATAAAGGAGGTCTGAACCGGCCGTCTGATTTATCATTTCATTTTTGTATGGATTCCTTCAAATTGTTTCAGACCCTAATTTCCCAGAAGTATGAAAAGCAGTTTTTGAAATTGAACGACCAGCAAAAAGCTTTCAAAACTCTCGGAGTGAAATTATATGAGCAAACTCTCAATGATATGCTTTTTTCTTGTGAGACTAATTCTTGCAATTTATCTTTGCAAAAAGTTGTTCAAAAAATTTTTGTTTAGTTTCGTACTAAGATTTGTTTCCTGTGCCTAGCAATCATGTGGAGCTCAAATTTAAATAAAGTACTTGTGGAACGAGCAGTAAAATCTCAATATTTATTTTATCTCTCCCTTTCATAAGGAAACTTTTATCAGCTTTGTGCGTGTAAAGAATCTTGAATTAGGGGTACCGGCAATCATGAAACAAATCTTCAGTTATAGCCTGATGAAAAGATTTGCCCTTGACAGTTACAAACCCTTGAATAAAGCTTCCTTTCGTTAAACAGAAATATATTACGCAATCAAAGGTGAGTTTTTGAATTATTCATATTAACAGGCTAATGCCAGCAGATCTGGCAAAAGTTACAGTGCGCAGGTTATATTCATTAGACATCAGAATATTCACCTTGACTCCGATGAAAATAGCTGGTAATGAACAGTTGAGAGATAACTCCGGCTGATACCGAAGAGTACCAAGAAGCAACTTCATCATTCTGAAAATGGAATACTCCTATGGTGCTTGATTTAATAACATCCCAATTAAGTATTATAAATTTAAATTATGTTTGACACCTCACACTTGCGATGTCCTGGTCTGGTACTAAGATGTGGTAGCCACTGATATTAATGACAGGAGTAGAGAATGTTAACCTTAAAATCCAATGATAATTTGATCGGTGCCATCACTTAATAGATCCGTTGGATTCTAATGCTACTTTGTCTATCACACCTTCGTAACAGAGGCATACTAGAGCTGCAGTCTGTTCTGCCCATCGCCTGTTTTTCTCCCTAGAATGAAAAACAAAGGATGATAACTTGACAAGGTCCAAGGAGATGTTTTGACAAAAGAAAAGCTAAATAGCATGGTAGCATCAAAATTCAATGGTATTAGAGATTATTAGTAAAAATATGATGAGAGACGATATCATAATTACAACAAAATAAAAGCTGGGTGGCTCAAAATTTGGATCTTCAGATTCTCTGGCCCTTCTGAGGAAATTTCCTGACTTTTAAACCAAAAATTCTTGGATCTTAAAATTCCCTAACCCTTTAGAGGGAATCTTCTCACTTGTACACACAACAAAAATGTTAGATCCTTAAATATTTGCTGACACTCTCTTGACCCTTCATAAGAAATTTCCTGGCTTTACAACATAACAACTGTCCTGCATACTTTGTCTCTTCTCGGATGTATCTCGATTTCTAAGTGAGCTCGGTGCAACATTTAAGCAGAGTTTGAGACAAAATCAACGTTTTTAGAAAACTCCTTTTTTTGAAGATACCGTCTCATTCCCGAACGGTTCTCATACTATAGTGTGTAATCAGTCAATAGTTCCACTAACTGCCATCAATTCTGTTCCTGAATGTCAACATCTATGTCAGTGTCAAGCAGGAAAATCAGTCTATTCAGCCCAATTTTTAAGCCTGTCTTCATAATCACCATAAAAATAAGAATTGCACTCAGCTCCGATCATTGGCGATTTCAAAAGAAGGTTTTTTCATGAGTTCAGGCCATAAAAAATCTGCAAAAATTGCTGAAAGCTAAGCTCAATTAGTACTTTCAGAAAATAGATTTAAAAAAATGTCACTAACCCATTATTACAATAGATACTTCGAGACTAACTTCATTAACCCTTTCCGGTCCAATGTCGGATATATTCGCCGTGAAAAATAACGCGTTTAGGTCCGATGTCGGATATAGTCGCCCAAAAGTTTGAACTTCTGTGCAGGCCCGATATCGGGTATATTCGACTGCTCCAGCAAGTGGCGGCCTCTGGTGGAGCCTTTGGAAACCACTGTCTTTGTTGACAACATCGCTGCTACCTTAACCTCACTTAACGACGGCCGTGGAAAACTGCCGCGGACCGGAAAGGGTTAAAAATAATCAGCATTTCAATTTTTCAGAAAATGTCACCAGACTTGTTTATTCACCGGGATCTTCAATTGAGTATGGGTGGAGGTGTATCAGTGATGCTTAGAAAAGGTAGAGGATTTAGGGTTTTCTTCTACTCTGAGCACTTGGTTTGGTCAAATTTGTTAAACACTGATTGTCAAACAAAAAAATGTTACATTCTAGATCTTGATTGTGCTGCAATCAGTGTACCTAATGCAGTATGTATGTAAAGCGGTGGTTTGTGTCAATTCTGGCCACAGATTTAAGTTTCATTCCTATCATTTCCAGCACAATTCGCTGTTTCCCTCACAAAAAACATCAATACATTTCAATGTTGCCAAATTTACCCTCTCGAATTGAATTGTCACCAGGACAATCATAGGCGTTTCTAACTGAAAATTAAACTGATTTTTCATCTAATATCAAACAAAAACCAAAATAAATTTGGACAAAAATTGCACAGGTACATTCTTGAAAAAATTGAATTGTTTGAGTCGATTTTGAAACCTTTGAATGAAGTTACAAAAGACATAAAAAACGGAGCACTCGTTTCTAATAACTTAGGAGAGAAGTGAAGCCGCCTTAGCACTCTGTGCTTGTGTGAGTGTGTAAATAAGCGCAGAAATTCATGGCAGCAAACAGAAATGTAATTTGAACTTTTCCTCTTGATTTTGGCACATTTCTTGCTCTACACTTGTTTTAAATGCCTTAAACGAGCGAATCAATAACATTGGGCCGGTGACTTTTTATAATAAACCTACTTTGGCTCGGTAACAAACAAGGATCTCAGATAAAGTTAGGGTTTCTGTTGTTCATGGTGAGCTTGCCGGTCCAAACAGGCCATTACAGTCCTAGATGATCGTTACTCCCAAATGAGATTAATCGGTCGATGATGGACCAAAAATAATCTGAAGTTAAAGAAATATATGTGGGTAAGTGAATTTGAGCAAAAATCAACCTAGAATACTTGGTTTAAGCATTTTTATTCCGTTGCTGCTCATTATTTGAATTTCAAACTTGTCCTGATATTACCGCCAATCCTCTAGCCAATCGGAGAGATGGCTTCATTTTTTTCTTTTAGAGCTCCGTCTTTGTGTCTTTGTAAGTTACGTTTCTTTGTTTGGGAAACAACGATTTGACACTTGCCTGTCAATATCATACAGTGATGGTAAAAATGAGAACCAAAAAAAGTGAAAACTACATTTGAACCAGCTTAGAAACTTACCAATATGAAGATGAATATTTTTGATTGTTGAAGACAACAATGGACTTGAACAGTTTGTCCGACTGAGATGAAATATATTTGGGTTGTTCAAGTCCTTTTCTTCGAGCATATACCATGAGCCGTGTTTTTGGAAGATCACTATCTGCTGGGTACAGGTTTCGAATGAAAGCACATCTCAATTCTTTGGTATCACCATCAGAGTTACTGTCATCTGTAATAACTTTTCGGCGTTTTGTTTCATTTATTGGCTTCACCTCCCATCGGTCGAGGATTCCTTTTGCACGATATTCCGCTTCTTTCAATCTGTAGTAATTGTCCAAACCCCAAACAGCACTGGAAAATAAATAAAATGACAATAATGAAGGGTTTTAAATAGAGGCATGTGATTCATATTATTACCTTCCAGCCAAAGTATCACAAGCGCCATGTACTTTTAGACAATATGTTGCGAATTATATTGATACTGTTTCACTTCTTTCTTGAAAACTTTAGCGTATACTTTCATGAAAATTTCAGGGATTAATCTTGGGGGCAGAAGAAATATTAGGTAAAATTTTTAACTGATTATACTCATTGATTGTTTCATGAAAAATCGGCCCAGTTAGAAAAGTTTTGCAACATAGGTCCTAAGACTGAATGGCGCTTGTGATGTGGGGACAGCTGCCCCACTTTAGATTGAAAGACGTCCATGTGTATAAAAGTAGGTGCAATTAGACATCTGAAGCTAGTGTCTAATGAACCTTAAAATTATTGTAATTCCTATTCTAATGTTGTCCATAATCGATCTTTATTCAATTCTTTATTTACAAATTTTGATTAATTGATTGGTTAATCAAATTTGTAGTGTGAAATTGTTACCCCTGGCACCATCCTCTCGGATGTACTTCCATTGCAGCGCTTAAAATTCTTGGATTATGTTTCGCTTATTTGAAACGAAACAAACCAAAACATCTCCCACAGATTTTCTTTGAATATTTTTGAATGAGTGAAGAAAATTCTTTCATTCATAACTTTTCAGAAAATCTAATGGTAAGTAAATTTTCTTGTAAAAAAATAATACCCGGACACAGAGCAGAAATTTGCAATATTCCAGTCACAGGTGAGCATGTTTCAACTAGAGTCATATCTATGCTTAAATAACCACCTTCCAGAAGATAAAATCAATCGAATCCTCAGGTAAGTATCCATTATTTAACATCCAGACCTGACAGACTAAACACAAAATAAGACAGTGTACCTAATTTGCTCCAAAGTCTGTGCTTTCAGTAAGGCCTTCCCCTCTTCCGTTTCTTGTAAATCCTGCAGCATGTTCTGGATGCAGTATTTACAATTGGCTGGAGCATTATCGTAGTCAATGGCATAGTGCAAATAGGCTTTGATGACATCAGTCAATGGAAGTTTTCCCTCTGGCCGAAAAATGGAGCAGTTCCATTCGGCAGCTCTGGCCACCATGACGCTTGAGCAGCCTGTTGCAGTCTTGAATTTCTCAAAATCTGAGAATGTCTCTATTTCTTTGGAGCCGCCACTGGAGATTCAAAAAGAGCGAAGAGACAACAAGTTAGAAAAATGAGAAAGAGCAAGTTACCCTAATGAAGTACATTAAATCACAAAATCAATTGAGTTGCAAGCAATTATAGACAGTCTATAGACACTCTTCTGAAAAAAATTAAGTGATTTTATTAATCTTGTAATATGGTCCTTAACTATTTTCTTTCTGGAGCTTATTTTGTGAGAAAATTAAATTTAAATGGACGAATGCACTTGCAGGGATGCCGGCTCTTCTCAAGTGCTCTCCGTGCTTGGAGAGCACAGAGCAGACCTTTTTGCAAGTGCTTTGGTACATTCAAATGCACTTTTCTTGAAAACTAAACCTCAGAGAAAAACTTGGTTGAACCATTTACCGAGATTATTTTACTTCCAAGGCACTAATGTCCTAAAAATAGCACCCTCAAGGTCTAAAAAACCAAGTTTCATGCCTTAGATGATCCAAAATCCCCTGAAATCTCCCACTAACTTGAGATTTCAATTATTTTGCGGCCATAGAAGAAATAATCGCTAACAATTATGGAGAGTAGCCGTTTCTGGTTGGATTAGGTCGATAACCATAGCCAAAATTAAGATAAAAACGATTTCCTTGAAAATCTGAGGTCCTACTAGTGGCAATTTTTGATAACAACATTAAAGAAGAGAAAAGTCTCATTTTGACCTATGGAATATGCTCCTGCAGGGGTGCGGAATGTTCTGGATCGCATGGTCGCTCACGTGAAAATTGGGGTAGGCTGTAAAAATTGGGGAAGCCTTTATATACCCCCTAGTTTTTGGAGAAAAAACAGGGAAGTGTATTATTATTTGTGCTAGATGCCTATTAAGCGTGCTGCTTTTGGGGAAGGAAACTATCAAGCGAGTTGTTTTACTTGCTGGAAGTCTTTCAAGCGCTCTGCTTGTGGGGATTGATACTTTCTGCACCCCTGTGCTCCTGCAGTAAGGCCGTTTAAATCTGGGATACCATGTATTGAACTTTATAGTTGTTGTGTATTGCATTGCATATTTCCACTGAAACAAGAAACTTATCCATCAATTAAAATTCTGGCTCCTTAGCTTGCGTCTCGCCAGAAAGATTGAGAAGTGAGACGAGAATTTTACAAAATAGCATGGCTCTGATAGGCTTTATTAGCAGGAAGTCCAATTTTTCTCTTGGAGTTAAATGTCTATATGCTACACTTTCAAAACTCACTTTGCAATGAGAGGGACGGGCACAACTTCGCTCACTTTTTTAATGAAGTCATTCCGATTGCTATGCTGAGGTCTCTCATGACGCATCCTTCCATGAACTGCAAGAGCCGCAATGCCGCATTCACTAAGTTTTTTGCTCAGCTCCACAGTTTCTTCAATCGTATCCAAGACTCGAATCTTGCAAGTTACCGGTATTGCTAGGTTTCTGACTAGATTTTTCAAGATACTGCATGCTTTGTCAGGATTTGAGAGCAGAGCAGCTCCCATTCCACCTTTGATTGAAAATTCTTTAGGGCAGCCCATGTTAACGTCAACACCAGCAACATCATTTTCTCTGCAAGTAGAAATAAAATTAGCCATGTGACATTCTTCTTTCATAACCTCATTATTACATATAAGAAAGAAATTAAAAAAAAAACACGATTAATGTTGAGGAACTATTGAAGAACAGTTGAATTTAATAACCATGAGTGATTTCAAAAAGCTAAATTCCTATGTCAGAATGAAAGAATAAACTCTGTAACAAATGATTCTGAACTGACAATGAGTAGTAACCATTTAACAAGGATTTGAGGATCTAGGACCTCCAGAGAAGCTTCTGTCAATAGTGACTCACCAGTATTGTATGTGGACAGTGCCTTAGCACCTTACAGTCACCATTCCAGTAAATACATTTTGCTAATGGCAGCTTGTTGTTACCCACATAATTTGTGATTTTATCACAGCGTAAATTCACGCTTTTATTGCAAGGAACTGATCTCAGATAAGACTAAGCCAAAGAATAGGTCATCATGCTATCAGGTAGCAAAATCATCACTGAAAAGTTCACTGAAGAAATTAAATGGGAATGCAATGAATAATTAGAGAAGCTACCACATTGTGCATACATTAGTAGTTCAAGCGGACTTAATAATCTTGAAATTCATTATCTAGCTATGGCCTCTACAAACTATACATAAACATTTCTTTCATTTGGTGCCACGATAATTCCTTGAGGAAACGTTTTTAATTTGTCCATCTTCAGTTTTAATCTCTCTTAATACCAGTCAACGTCTCACTCAGGACAACTTGCTATCGTTAATATCACTCAAGGAATCAATTGATTTTTCTTTCTAATCGCATTCAATGCACCGAAGAAATGCAGAATCTAGTTTTGCTCAGTATCTCTAAAAAAACAGTGTATAAGATCCCGGGTTGCGGAATTTTGGAAGCTTCCACATTTTTACACACCTACCTGCCTGCCGGCGTTCCACAAAGTTTCTGACAGATCTTAGGTATAAGTGATGACCATATTTTTCTTTGATGCTTCACCTTCGACACTTAAGATTTTCCTTCCTTTCACAGTTTTAGAGCTCTTCCAATTTTTTTTCAATTAAGTAACAAAGAATGAGTTAGAGGACTTTTAGCATCCCTGCCTCAGCGTATGGACGGATTTGATCTTGAGTTCCTATTCTGAAGAAAAAACATTCTGTTATGATACTCACAGAAGTTTGGCTGCCTTTAAAGCTCGATCAGGATCACTGGTCCCAAGTTGAAGAATAACTTTGCTCCTTTCCTTAGCACAAGTTCGGAAGACAATGGTCCCGTCTGAACGATCGATGTAATCAACAGTTTTCAAAACATCTAGAAAAATGGCAAAATAATCTAACTGTCATATTGTGTGAAGAATGGATAGGTTTTCTGGATCAATAATTAAATACTAGTTACAACTTTATCATAAAGGTAAGAAACACATTGACAATTGATAACTGATGTATTCTACTGAGCTTTCTAATTCTATCTAATGTGCTCATGGCGGTATTGTTAGAAAAGTGAACCATTGTTCACTTTCGGTTTGAATCGCAGGCCATTGCAGATTACAAATTTAGGCCTCTGCACAAAGCGGCGTTCCGTACTATCCACCTTGAACACATTCGTCTCATGATCACATCATGAAAAAACGACTTATCAGTTATGATTCGCAACTTTATAGTGGTTGTGATTTCTGTGTGGCTAAAAATTAAAGTGTTACAAGGTTTGAAAGTATTAAAAAACTTATCTAAGCTTGGGACCTCACTTCTGCAAGAATCCGTTGTTTTCATGTGGAAAGTAATGATCGAAAACGCTTGCAAACCGAAAGTATACCGTCAACTTAGCTGACATCACTTTGTATTGTGAAGTAGATGAGAGAGTCAAGATGGCGGATTTTCTGTTACAGTCTGATAGTGCGTAAACTTATTTGGCTTGGACTTCACTATGTATATACTCTTAATGGATCTAAATCAGCACAACTAGACAGCTTTGCACATGCGTATGGACAGCACCTTTGATAAGGGCACCGACTACCTACAATCGAAGGAATACAGAAAATGTATGACCCTATCTTACCATTAACTCTGCGATTACAACGCAATAACTTGTGGTCGATAATTTCTTCAGAATAGACTAGATCTGCACCGTAGTCGATAGAGAGTAATCTAATGGGTAATGTGCCTATTCGAACCATAGGAGCTAGAATCAGCTTGTTCCTATAATCAATGGTGTTCCCATTATTTGATAGCATTTTTTTCTAGAATCTTCAGTGTGCTATACTATAATTGCGGCAAAGTGAATCAAATATTTAAGGAACACGTGTTCGAATTCGGTACCGAGGCTTAGCCATGAGCACCGCAGTTCGTGGAAACCCAGTCTACGAGGAACCAGAGTGTAAAGAAAGGAAACGATTGCTCGAAGGAAAAGATTTGCGGATTTTGTAGAATACGACTCAGATAATTACAATGAACAAAAAAAGTTTAAATACACTTGGAAATTGGAATAATTTTAACCACACGCGTGCACTATCACTATCTTAACTAGGTAAACAAAAACATGGTTGAAACAAGGAGGGGTACGCATTCACCATTCGCCCATCTGTAAGCCATGTTGATGACGCTCGAGTGGCGAACTCGAGTGGCGCGAAGTTTGAATTGACGCTTCTGGTGCGAGCTGTGCGACAGAATTTCATAAATTTCATAAAATTCGTGCGCCATGCATGGCGCACGATCCGCCTCTCATTATTAAACTTCATCTAGCGTTGAGAGTTCACCAATTACTTCACACGACCAGTAAGCAATTTTAAACGTCGAAAATTTAAAAAAATATTAAAAAAAAAAAAACTTTTAAAAAAAATTATACGGTTTACGAGTTCCACCGCCGAGGAGCTCTCCCCGCAAGAAATCGTTCACCACCCGCCCCCCGCCGGGAGAGCCGCGGCGTGCTGCCTGCCCGAAACGCACACTGACGCCTACAAACCTAAGTGGATACTTCACGCATAGCGCAATGCTTGAAGTATCCACTTAGGTTTGTAGGCGTCAGTGCGCGTTTCGAGCTAGTAGCACGTCGTCGTCGCGCCGCAGCGTGCCATAAACTTGCCCACAATTAATAGGTCAGGGTGTTAAAATGTAGGCAATTTGACATCAAATTCGAAATTAGTGACTCAAGGAACACCGCGCGGTTACCAAACTTTCGTGATCTTTCAGTCATTAGCCAAGTACCACATGTGCATCCGTGTGCAGTTTCAAGGGTAGATAGATAGACAACATATTAGTCCAGGCGAGCTTAAAATGAGGCTACCTGGAATTTTGGGTACACAGCGATTTTTTTGGCTTACATAATGTTTTTTGGGTCGCTGAATCCGAATCTGAAGTTTCCTACCGCGTATCTGGTGAGCATTTTCCGCCATTTTGAAAAAATGGCCTAAAAAGGCCTTTTTTGCGGTTTTTTTAATGTAGCGGCTACGCATGAGAAAAAATCCCGGATTTAGCTAATGTTTTGAATAGCTGACAAAATTTGGAAGAAAATGGTGTATACATATGCTATAGGTTTGCTTAAAAATCATCCACGATCTGTCATCATCCGATCATCCACAATCATCCATCAAACCACGTCCCGTGGCGTGAAAAAGTGTGACGAAATTGATAGCCCAATCGAAACGGCAATAGAGGGGAATCGTAACTTCATCATCAGTTCCATTCGATCTGATATCAATTATTCACGGCTATTATCGGCCGACAAGCTGAATTTTTATTCCGAGACCAAGAACGAGGTGTCAAGGATGCGACCTCCTGTGGTTTACCCTGGTCGGTCTGAAAATTTTGGATCCACAATTTTGCAATTTTGCAAAATATTATATCATATTTATCATATAGACGCCATTATATTTTTATGACGTGAATATTCGTTTGATATGTGTTTTGTGAGACAAGTGATCTCCCTGAGTTTCGGTTTGGTTGCGGCGTGTGCTGAAATCGCGGGATATGAGAGCTTGCGAGGTTTGGCGCGGGCGGTTGACTACCTCCCCAAGATAGTCGAAACTAATGAGGACTGCTCCTTCTTACCTCGCTTATTCGAGGAACTGGTCCCTACGCAATTCCAACTCGTGCACGTGAGTTACTCCTCCGTTAAAAGAAATTATAGACATGATATACATAGAAATATAGATTAAGAATTTTAGCAACACAAAACATATCATTCCTGATTGATTGATCGTGTCTATAGAGTCACCACTTTTGGTTGGACACTGTGCTTTCAAAAAAAGCGATAGAGATATTCACTCGTGCGCAAAGAAATGCCCAGTCGCGATGGTTCTCGCGAAATTTCTGTCTCCTCAGATACGATGGTATGGTGAAACATTTTTTTTCGATGGAGAGGCTCGGATTGTGGGATGTAAAGGTCAAAAGGGTATAATGAATCGCAGAAATTAACTTCTTTTAAGAAGAAGAAGAAGATAACAAGGTAGGAGTGAATATGAGGCCTAGATCCTTTAATGATTGATTGAAATCGCACAACTCATTGCCCCTCGTGGTCAAGGATATATCCGCTAAAGTCATTGTGTTTTTCATTTTGAGTCGGTCGAGTTACACGGCAGATTTATAAATTGTGATTTTTTAGGTAAATTTGATCACTCTCGCAGTTTTTAAGGGCAAAACTTCATAAAAATTCTCATTTACCTCCGAGTTAAATTAAACTTTATATGATGTGATTCACTCATCTTCTTCGCAAAAGAATCTGCGATCAGGAGGCATCGATACACCAGACAAATGCTGGCATGAGCCATCGCCAATTTTTTCTTTATTAAAAAAAAGTCTAAATGAGAGCCTTTGATCACCAGCCATCAGGTATCGTATCCGGTCGAATTGACTTGAACGTAATTATTTTGCGCCCAACATTGAATCCAAACTACGCGCCTCACATTTTTTGGATAGGCAACTAATAGTGCATTTGTAGTAGGGAAGTGTATGGTATACGGCGTAAAACGAAGGCGAATTGTTGAGTTCAACTAATACCTTATCCTACGCGATCAGTTCCAGCCACGTATCCTGACTTCCTGTTAAATTTAACATTTAATGAGATAACTTCTAATATATCCTCTTAATTTTGTTGTGAGTAGGTAGTGCCGGATTTCTGAATTTCTTTTCCCGGTGTGAGATTGCTTTAAGCAACTTGTAAGGGCAGGTTTGACTCAAACCTCCCCTCACGAATGAGGCATCAGTTGAATTCAACGATTCTCCTTTGCCGTTTATCATAAGCATCCCTACTAAAACTTGAACTGCTTGAGGCTACTACAGCTAAAAAAGGACCCAGACGAGGACCTACGAAACATTTAAGAAAATGAGCATCTCGTGACATCTTTAGTATGTTTAGTTCATACTTCTTCCCTCTTTTTTTAAAAAAATTATGAACTCGAGAAAGTAAAACAATGAACAAGCTCTCTCGTTGTCTTCGGTTAGCAGTAATTTGATTTACTCTCTTACATTTTAATGCATGTATTAAGTTAACCGCAGAAGGTATGTTTGGTTAGCGGTAATGAGGTAAGTATGAGGTAAGTCCACGGTAAGTTTGTTGCTTATGTGGCGAAATTGAAGGCAACTCTCGATTGGACGATATCCGCACCAATCGGTTTATACACATTCCCCATTGATTTTAGAAAACTTAAACATATTTGCGCCAGTCTTTGGGAGATTTCTTGTGGCTTTTAAATTCTTCAGTACCGTGCAAGGTGCAATGCATGTAAGTTCAAAGTTCTGGATGAATGAGAGCTGAAAACCTGAGTGGGTGTTTCGCACAAGTAAAAAAAACCATTTTAGCTCTATTTCAAGTGAAAGTCTTTTGATTTCAAATCACTCGTGATTTCATGGGGTCTGCTCAGCAATTGACCGATTTAAAATTGGAGACTCCATCCACTTTCATCGAGAGTCTCTCAAAACCGCGTAAAGGCTGCGAAACCCTTAACTACAAATACGTCTATTAAGGAGGTAAAACCTACAATTTTCGCACGATCCGATTGTTGGGTCGAGGACTGCTTCGATGAATCTGCTCTTTGTTTCTTAGCTAAAGTTCTATTTTTCCGAATAAAGTCCATTCTCGTGTGGTCCGTAGATGCAATGGAAATACGTATGTAACAAAGCTCATCTTGAATGATTGTCTTACCCCCTTTTTCTGGTAAAGCAAAAAATACCTCCACACTCTTTGACTCATGTAAATGTAGATGCAGTTTCAGGGCAGTAAGGGATGCAGATGGCACTCTTGGGAAATTTTATTCAAGGGTCTGACCGTGGCAGACGCCGTCTGACGATCGACCTCTGCTTCGCGCCTTGATAAAACTCACCCCCAAATAAGCTCAAGGTTGATGATCAATTTCGTAGGCGACAGTTTGGGCCATGACCCCTGGATGAGAAAAACCGTATTCGAAGAGCATAAACCGTTCATAGACGTATCGGGAGCAACTTTCTGCGGGTGGCGGTCAGTGGCATGGCGTGCTTTGCGATATATCGATTGAAATGCCATTTAAACCTATGGAAAAGGATCGAAAAACAAGGTGTTCGCAATGAACACCTTGAAAATCGATTCTTTACCATACCATGATGAGAGATTATCGATAATCGATCATTCACGCCTTGCCACAACTGGCGGTTGCTCTGGCTCTATCACTTTTCAAATTTGAGTGAAGGTCTTAAATAAAAAGCAAAGGGAGCTTTCAGAGGGTCTCGCCTGGATCATTCAAAAAAAATTGGCCGCTTTTTTAAAAGCATTTTGATGATACTGTTGAACCTTAGCCGTATGCAAACTCAACGTTTAACTCTACCAGTAGTCTATTTGTATTTTTAATAGTCTCAATATTTCTTCTTTTTTGTAATTTAGGTTTTTGATTTATTAAACAATTCTGCAACATTGAGATATTGTTTTTCTCTATCTTTAAAATGAGGATATGTACCGGCTATAAGACGTTATACGTTTCATTTTGAACATTTTTTTTCTTGGGGGGGGGGGGGGTNTAAGGCGTGTGCAGGGCGTGCGGCGCAAGCGGGCGCCAGCCTTTGGGGGGCGCCACGAAAGAAGAAGAGAGGGAAAAAAAGGGGGGAAAAGGAAAAGGGAAAAAAGGGAAGAAAGGACAAGGGGAAAAAAGGAAAAGGAATCAAGGTTGGGCAGTGAAAGCAAGGAAGAAGGGGGGAAATGGAAGGAAAGAGGAGGCAAGAAAAGTGAAAAGAGAGTCCGCGAGAAAGGAGGGGGGGCATAAAAACCATAGACAAAATGTAAAGAGAATTGCCGTCTAAAGGTAAATTTTCAGGACAAAAACTCCACCTGGTCCATAGACGGTCAGGCGCCCCTTGACCCTAAATTTGCGGCTGTACAGAAATACAAGAGTAGGCATGTATTAAGGGGGCGCTATAAATTTATCGAACAGGAGCCGACATAGCATTTTAGGCCACGTCCGCCATCTTGGATTTGAGAATTTATAAACATAGTAAAAATTCGAGTTTCCGGTCGAAAAATACCCTCAGACACTGATTTTCAAAAAAATCCATCGAACAGGAGCCGACATAGCATTTTAGGCCACGTCCGCCATCTCGGATTTGAGAATTTTCAAAAATCGATTAAAAATCGAGTTTCCCGTCGAAAAGTACCCCTGATCCCGCGGTTCACAAAGCTCTAACGAACAGAAACGGAGGCCAGAACCGGGGCTCATTTTAGGCCACATCCAACATTTTGGAGTTGAGAATTTTAAAAAATTGACTACAAATTCGAGTTTTCCGTTGAAAAATACCGTGTGATACCGCGTTCCACAAGACTCGAACAAACAGAAACCGAGATAGCATTTTAGCCCACGTCCGCCATCTTGAATTTGAGAATTTTAAAAAATGGACTAGAAATTCGAGTTTCCCGTCGAAAAATACCACCTGACACCAAATTTCAGAGAAATTCATCGAACAGGGGCCGAGATAGCATTTTAAGCCATTTCGGATTTTCGAATTTTGAATTTTTTGAATTTTGACAGATTTTGATTTAAAACACGTGATCCCCAAAATCGAAGCATAGATTCGGATTTCTCGTAAAAAATCGATGCGATTTCATGTATCATACCCTGACACCGAATTTCAGGAGAATCCATCGAACAGGAGCCGAGATGGCATTTTAAGCCCTCTTCAGTCATTTCGGATTTTTGAAGTTGAAAAATTTTACTTAAAACGCGTGATACCCAAAATCGAAGTTCAGATTCGGATTCCTCGTAAAAAATCGATGCGATTTCATGTAGGTATCATACCCTGACACCGAATTTCAGGAAAATCCATCGAACATGCAGGAGCCGAGATGGCATTTTAAGCCACGTCAGTCATTTAAGATTTTCGAATTTGGAAAATTTGACTTAAAACGCGTGATACCCAAAATCAAAGTTCAGATTCGGATTCCTCGTTAAAAATTGATACAATTTCATGCATCATACTCGAGCATAGCGTGAAGGAAAGAGACGTAACGTAGGCATACTGATTCGAGCATATGAATGCAACGTGGCAACATGGGTAGTGCTCAGTGGGTCAGCGGAGGAGGAAGAATAAGAATTTATCGTGAGAAATTCCTCGCGACGAAACCGAACGCTTAGCCGGCGCTTAGCGGCGCCTCCCCGTTCGGTTTCACTCGGGCGACAGGCGGCGGCGTAGTTCAAAAGCGTAGTATGACAGAATCTATACGCGTCGTTAAACCTTTTTCCTTCACGCTATTTTAACATATGATACATGAAATCTCATCAATTTTTCACGAGGAATCCGAATCTGAGCTTAGATTTTGGATATTACGCGTTTTAATCTATTTAAAATCGTAGGAGAAATTACAGAATTGTCCTTGAAAATTGATCACACATCAGTGTTTTTTTTCTACGTCATTAAACCTCTTTCCTTCACGCTATTCTAACATATGATGCATAAAATCTCATCAATTTTTCACGAGGAATCGAATCTGAGCTTAGATTTTGGATATGACGCGTTTTAATCTATTTAAAATCGTAGGAGAAATTACAGAATTGTCCTCGAAAATTGATCACACATTAGTGATTTTTTACCCCGTTTTTCTTCTACGTTCACGTAATGAAAGTAGATCAACAGTTGACTC